TCGATTTCAGCACCTTTTTGTTTAGCGAAATTACCGGCAATAAGCGCCGTAATATGTGAGATTGGAGAGACTTTCGAAATCCTGGGATTTATGTAGAAGAAAAAAATACAGTGGAGAATTTACAAGTTATTGAGAATTTTGGAAGCCATGCTCAATGATACTTTCTGTCGGTAACAGTCGCATTATAGGTAATGGTGCGTGGTGGACGCCGACGTGATCTGCAAGGTGTTAGGGCGGAAATTATTCGAGGCAAACTGGATTGTGCGCCGACGCATAAGCAAGCCAAGAAGGCAGCAGCTAAAGGAAAGTAGATTTCTACGCTGATAATGCTGAACGTTGGATGCGTCATATTTCGCGGGTCTCTGTCAATGTGTCCTGCTCAGTTTGCTGGTCCAGTTAAGCCATTGCAACGAAATGCTGAAGTAAAATTGTCTTTTATTCAAAGGAACAGACACTTCTTGAGCTCCCCCAAGAAACATCTGTTTGAAATGAGGCAGCAGAGCTCTCCATTTGATAATGCCGACAATTTTTTGGTCCCTTGTACAGATTTCTAGTCAGATATTGGATATGTTTGAAGGCTTCCAGCCTTTTTGCTCTTTTTTCGTAACACACGGCGCCCTTTGGCCACGGCTCCATCTCTCACTGATTTTGAATCAAGACATTTGGGGACTGTGTAGTGTTGGCTCTAGCAATTCAGTACATGACAGTCTAGAAGCAGTTGCAGCGTATATTACTAAAACACGGCTCGGTTCAGTTCGGCTCGGCTCGTCTGCTACACAAGCTGCAAAAAATTTTTTTTCCGGAATGCGGATAGGGCTACCCCACGGCGGATGGCGGTAGCGGTAGTTTGAATGTGGTGCCAGCGTAAGTTAAAAAAAAGTAGAAGGAAAGGATTTTTGTGGCTTTTCAGGTCACGCATATGTGATGTGTGACGTATCAGGGTAGGCGCATTTTACAGCCCCTTGGGGTCATCTATACACCTCCTACCTTGGCTACGCCCACATTCTTCCCGTATATAAGTCCAGTTTTTGGGCACAAAACTCAGTCTCTCCGGTTCACTCGGGCTGAGTGGTGGGGGCGAGTTTGGTCGCCTACTACTCTCACTCCTCACTACTAGGGGGGAGGGGAAATGGGAAAATTTGATGCTGTAAATATTATTCACTCCTAATCCTTATCTTCAATAACAAAACCATTTATCAAAATTCCCCTTTGTTTTTTCTTTTTCCCATCCATACCGTAACCCAACCCTGTACCCTCCATGGGATTATGTACAAACACAAAAGCCAGTACTGAAGTGTACTTTGATAATGTGATTAATGTGTTATGTATCCAGCGACTCAGCTGGATACAAAGGAGGTAAACATGGTGGGAACCTCCTCTTAGGGGCAGGGCCAATCCCCCCTTATATAACCTCGGGTTTTCACCATTCTTGGTCTGGATGGTTTTTTCGGAATTCGACGAAAGCAGCACGGGGACTTTGACGCAGAACGATACCTCCACTCCCGGTTCAACACAAGCTCCAGAACAAAATTCGTCTTCACCATCTACGGCCTCTGTTCGTCTCCCACTTATTTTATCGGTCTTCGATCAGGTTTTTTTTCTTAATTGTCATATCATTCAACTTACTTTTTTTTTACTCAAGTTTAGATAAACTTATTATTATAAGCCAGCGCTTCGCGCTTCATCTTGCCTAGTCACAACGACCCCATAATACCTCACAACTACGTATCGAAAACATTTACTGGTAGCAGCGAGTAGTTGTGACTGTTACGAGTAGTTGTGATTTGGAACAGGCAAAGGAAAGTTACTGGCT